GAACCGGACAGGACCCAGGGCGGCTCTGGACACGGTGCGGACAGCCAAGCGCGCTCCTGGGGCCCGACCGGGATCCTTCCACACTTGCGGCCGGGCTTTCTCCGAGCCACCTGGAAAGGCGATACCTGCTAACTAACGCGGAAATGACCGAGGAGAAATTTCTAGCAGAATCCTCCGCAGCTCCCTGGAGAACTCACAGCAAGATAGTGGAAAAGCCAGGGGCGAACCCAGGACTCTCGGCGCACTTTCTCACGTTTTTGCTTTTGTGGTAAGTGTTTTCTAAGGGAAAGAATCCATGTAGGCGAGAGGGTCTCAAAGTGCCTCCAGGGCCCGTACCCGGTCCCCTTGCTTGGGGGAGGGGGGCAATCGGCAGTGTCGCGGGAGGCCAGGACCAACGAATAGGAGCGAACGCTGGCCTAATACGGCTTCATGGCGACAGGATTCGCCTCAGATGCCCTCTCTGAGCTTCAGTTTCCTCCTGTACACTGTAGGGGTGCTCATCTAGGCCAGGCCTTCTTGTCAGGGATATTGAAGGATCCAGCGCCCCTCACCCTGAAATGGGTTCTGCAGGTCATCCAGGGCTCTGGCTTCCACACCTTCCCTGAGCACCGTGTGCTGGTATCTGGATGGCTCTGGGGGTCCTGCTGTACTTCTTTTTTGTGCTCCAGTCTCTTTGGCCTTGGTCTCAAATTGAAGAAAAAAAAAAGTATCTGGAGCTCCTTCTTACTGCACAACAGGTGGGGTTCACAGCACAGGATTCTAAAGGATGAGACACCCCGAGCAGAGTTCCCAGAAATCCTGGAAAACGGGATTTTTAGAATCATAAAATTTGATGTCTTATGACTTACTAAACACAGTATCTTACAAAAAGCAACAATAGTAGGAAGGCCCTTGGAGTTAGATCCACCCCACATCCTGAGGAGAGGATGTCGCTGGCTGGCAGCAGTGTGGTGAAGTGTGGCAGATCTGGCACCGTAGTGCAGGCTTCTTGACCCCAAGGCAAGAGCTCTTCCTCCTGTGCCATCCACGCCGCCCCTGTTCAGGTGTTAGCCACAGTGCCTGGAACACCTAGGTCAAGGCCTGCATAGGTATCTCAGGTTTCGCCTGGGTCTGGGGATTTGTAGTGGAAACTTGCTACTTTTATGGCAGGAGAGGAGTAGAAAGCAGCAAGAGTAACCCACCAACCCTCCGACAGTGCCACCAGGTGCCTGACACCCCCCCACACACACACTTTGAGCTGTGGGGCCTGGCTCTGCCACCAGGCCATGTGGCTTTAGTCAAATTATAACCTCTTGCCTGATCTGTTTGCCCCTCATAAAGCACAGTTAGATATCTGTCCTTTCCAAGCACAGTTAGATATCTGGCCTTTCCAGTTCTATCCTTGGGTGAGAGCAGGAGCTGAATCTTTTGCCCTCCCTCCCCCATCAAACACACACACACACACACACACACACACACACACACACACACACACCATAGAGTGCTGCACATTTACTTGGGACCCTGAAAATATTTGCTAAATGAATCATTTAACCAACTGGACCAGCAGGATGAAAGGCTCTCCAAATTTCCAAACACAGCAACAGTTCATTAAGATGTTTTGTAAACCTAGCCTGGGCTGCCACCATTCCTGAGCTAGAACACTGGGACTGTGCCTTCCTCAATGGGCTCCGAGGTCCACCCCGGCAGGAGAGATGGGCTCGTGAAGCCCAGCAAAGTGATGGGAAGGTTCATCTGCTCAGTACCGGGAGTTCCCCTTGGGAGATTCTCAGAATATCCGTTCTTTTTCAGAGAAGGATTCAGAAGAAACTGTTAGCAGTCGTTCAGGGGAATTGGGGGAAGTCTGCACTTTTCATTTTTATACTTTTCTACACTGTTTGTATTTTCTAACAACATACACCATCCTCCTCCCCTTTCAACAGGAGTTATGTGAGCAGTGAGATTATGAACTATACTTTTTAGTATTTTGGTAATAAAATGAAACAAGGGGAGGGCAGTGGGAAGGGGAATAAAAATGGTTAAGATTGTGTGTGATGTGTATATGTACCAGTTCCCCAAGGCAAGTGCAGTTATTGTGTACCACAAACACATAACAATAAAATATTTAAATATTAAAATAAAACTTGCTCGTATTTTCATTGTTAAGAACAAAGCCCACTTGTCACTTCAGGGGGCTGGACAGGGAATGTGTGCTTTTTAGATTAATCCATGTTCCCACTCAAACGCTCTTTTGCACTCCTGTCCCACGTAATCTGTCTGCTGGACCCCTCCATTGGGACCCATCTGCCAGCAGACATCACTTTTTTCTTCTCTTACTTTGCTCCTTGTTCCTGTGTCCTTCCCTAGGCAAAGGGCTCTTTGGCCAAGTTTCCAGAGGCAGAAATCTAACACTCGTCATAGGGTAGTGGTGGTGAACTATGGCCACTGCGGGCTGTTTTGTTATTGAAAGCTCTAAAAGGGTCACCATCACTGTCCTAGGCCCTCTCCCATGCTCTCATATCTGACGTCATAAATCCACCTAAATCCCCCCTTCTCTCTGTCCTCTGCTGGTTCTCACCAAGTTAAATCCTCCTCCTCTTCCCAATGACCCATTTTCCCCATTGCTCTCCCTTCCTCTAAAATACAGATTTGACCATGGCACTTCCCTGTTTAAAGATCATTAACAGCTCCCAAATAGTTGTGTAAATAAAGTCAAAACATTTTCTAACTATTCTCTGTCCTGGCCTATTGTCCAAGCACCCCAGAAGAGATTTTAATCTCCTAGAACCCGGAGCTCATATCTGTGCCTTCCTAGCAGTATATTTGATGTTTCCTGTGCAAACACTTCTCCTTCTCACCCGCCTTGCATAACCCTGCCTTGAGGTGCTTTGATACCCAGCTCAAGTGTCGCTTTTCCCTAGAAGCCTTCTCTGAATTCTCTTTCCTGCACTGTGCTTGACTGTCTCAGAACTTCCTGCACCATTTTGAAACTGTTTAACAATCCGTCTCTGCTTCTAAACTGAGTTCTGGGAAGGCAAGGACAGCCTTTCCTGTGTAGCTCCAAGACCCAGAAGAGATTCTCACATGATGTCAGCCAAAGAAAGTATTTGCTGAATACCAACTAAAGTATGAAAGATTGACCACTACTTCATTGCTTACCTGCACTTGTATCTAAGATCTCCGGTGCCCCATTGTGACAGATGGTACGTTGATTCTATTTGCAGAGAGGGAATAGTTAACATTCACTGGGGAACCTACTATGTCCTAGGCTCTGTGTCTGATGTGATCTCATTTAATTCTGGAAAGATCTCTGAGATAAAAGAGATTACCACCCCCACTTTATAGATGAGGAGATAAAAGTTCAAAATTAAGTGATTTGTCAAAGTTTTCACATTTAAGAGTGTCTGCCTCCTGAGCATCTAAGATTGCCTAAACCACTTAGGGAGCAGAGAATAATTTTTCAAAAATGATATTTGAGTCAAGTGAGGTGGCACATGCCTATAACCCCAGCATCCTTGGGGGCTGAGGCAGGGGGATCACAAGTTTGAACCTGGACAACTTAGATCCTATTTCAAAACAAAATATAAAAAAGGGTTGGGGATACAGCTGGGTG